CAGAGGCCTGTCCAGCCTGGCTTTGAACTGTTCCAGGGATGGGGTATCCACAACTTCTTCGGGCAGCCGGTTCCAGTGCCTCACCACCCTCATAGTAAAGCATTCTTTTGTGATATTGCATTTAAACCTATTGTCCTTCAATTTGGACCTGTTTCGCTTGTCATGCCACTACATGCTTTTGTAGATAGTCTTGCTCCATTTAGTTGTGCTGTTGTTTAGTTGTTCCAATACCAAGATAGTTTGAGCTGTGTTCCCATGGATTGGCAGATTTGTTTTTCTTCTGTCAAGTCCGTTCCGAATTCAGAAATTGTTCGTTTGGGGTTTTTTTTTTTTAAGTGCTTCTCTATGTTTTCTTGCCGTGTTTAGGGAGTAAAAAAACAAGAATTCCGACTGTTATAAACTTATTACAGATAAAATCTGGTGCTAATGGAGAAATCCTTGCAGAGTTCCTGCTGAGTGTTTTGAGCAGTTTAGGACTCATTTTTCAGCCAGCAGTCATGCTGATGAGTAGAAGGAAACTTTGAACTCCCACGTCATGTTCTACAACTATGTGGGTGCTGTGACGGCACTGTAAAGCTCAGGAGGTGTTTACACCTCTGAGATGTATGACTGAGCTCTGGGGCTTCCTCCTAGAAAGTATTTAGGGCTAAACCAGGTGTGTCTGACACTACCCTAGATTTACTCCTACACTTCAGATTTGTATTGTGCAGCAGTATTTTCATGAACTAAAACAAGTCCTGGGAACACTTCTTAGAGAATCAAGAGAGGTATGACAAAGTGTATCATTAAGAAGTGGGCATTTGATAGTGCTGAAGTCTTCAGTCCTTTCCTTTGTCAGACTGGCAGCTCCCTCTGGGTTGGAGTGGAGGCCAGCCAGCCGTGTGCTGTTCCTGAAGAGGGGATGGATGTCTATGCAGACAGCTCTGAAGGAAGCGTGCCTGCTGACTTGTGTTTGCAGGTGATGGAGCAGCTGCAGGGAGCCATGGCTACACCAACAGCGGTTACAGCGTTTACGAAGAGGAGAACGACAGGTTAACAGAAAGCCTGCGTACAAAAGTCAGCGCCATTAAATCGGTACGTGTCTAACTGCAGCGGTGTCGCCACAGGCACTTCATTCAGTTATAGGAATCAGGGAAGCAGTAGACTTAGTGTAGAACAGAAACTTACAACTGTGATGTTTTAATCGGGTTGGATGTCAGGTGACTGACCACCAAAGCTGCTCTGTCCTCAGGTGGATGGACAAGGGAGGAAAAAGCACAATAAAAGGTCCATGCATCAAGATACGGGCAGGGAGAGATGACTCACCAATTACCATCATTAGCAAAACAGACTCAACTTGGGGAAATGAATTTATTGACAGTCAAATCAGTAGGGTAATGAGAAATAAAAGACTTAAAATGCCTTGCCACTACCTTTCCCTTTTTCCTGGGCTCAACTTCACTCCCAATTTTCTCTACTTCTTAAACCTCAGTGGTGCAGGGGAATGGGAAATGGGAGTTTCAGTCAAAAAAATTGTGACATGAAAACAGCCTTCAGAAATAGCATCCTCTGAAGGAAAAGTTTGGTGCTCTTAGGATTCTAATTCCTTTCAGAAATTGAGGACTTCTTTCAAACAAGTCTAACTGAAAGACAGCTCTGAGATTAAAGTTGTGTGGATTTATTGATCTTACAAGTTTAAAGTATTATAAAGCACATTCCAGTAAAGTTTTTAGGCCTGAACTCACTCGACATCTTACTGCTAATATTCTTGCTTAAAATTGGTTTAGTCTCAAAGAGAAATGAAACAGTTTTAGAATAAGAATTTGGAACAAGTTAAGGGGTAAAAAAAAGCTTTGACCTTTGTTATCAAATTTAATTTCTTGTCTCCTGCTGTGCTATGTTACATTTCAAAATCCATGTATGTCAACAAAGCAATTTGTGGTTCCCCAAGGAGCTCTTTCTGGAGTTGTCTTTTAGTGCAATGGGATAATCTTGGCATATGGAATAGCCTTCACATAATCTTCCAAGAAGCCTGGTGTAAAATCAGTTTCACTCTTGATTGAAATGCATCAGTATGAGATAATGAGATTCAAGTTTTGACATGTGAAAACAAATGGATTTTGGCTAATCCAAAGCATGGCAGCCTGGAGTGCCTTTCCCTCCATCCCAGAAGTTGAGCAGGTTGTTCAAGGCCAGTGTGCTGATGACAGAGGAATGGCTGCTAAGAGTCGGGCTCAGTGTCAGTTCTCCCCTGTTTAACTCCAGAGCTGCTTTAAGCCAAGGCTCTTCTGGCTGGCTCCCACCTTTGTGCTGTTGCAGCTCCAGCTGGGCCCGGTCTCGTACCTCTCTGATTCCAACACTAGCCTGGCTTCACTTTCTGGCTTGACCTGGGACCTGTCTCAGGCTTCTGCCCAGGCCGGCGTTGGCCCTGGTGACTGTCTCAGAACTGGCTCTTGTGCAGCTTTCCTCCTGTTCTGTGACACAAAGCAGAGAAGGGCTACACAAGTTCACTGAAGAAAGTCCTGTTCATAGCACAGCAGCAGCTTGTCAAAAGAGATGAGTTTGCAGGTTACAAGTGTCAACTCCAGCAACACTTTTAAGTCAAACCAATGCTCAGGGTTCTCTCTACTGTTTGCCAGCAGTTTTAACAGTTGTTCCAGGAAATGGGTAATTGCTACTTCAGACTTGACTAGATCTTGAGATTTTAAAGTCTGTGCAATAATTCAAGTATGACATTATCTGGAAAAAGGGAAGAGGAGCATCGAGTACTTCCTGTGACTCTTTACTTCCTGTGACTCTTTAGACTCATCAATCAGATGAAAAATCTTACTTCTTTAAGGGTTATTGATAGATAACTGTTTTTGGTTTTTGAAAATATCAGGTATTGCTTTCACTGGGGAAAATGTTAGTCATGTATTTTCGACTGGGTTTTCTAGTGTATGTATTAACTTATTATTCATATTTAATACTTTTTTTGTTTTGTTTTTGTTTCTGATAGCTTTCCATTGAAATTGGAACAGAAGTTAAAAACCAGAATAAAATGTTATCAGAAATGGTAAGTATTGAATAACTAGCTTTCTTTAAATATGGGTCAGGATTAGAAGTTAATAATGTAAAGCATCCTGTCTTTTATTATGAACATTGGTATTAAAATGTTGACACCTTATTGTTGACTGTAACATGTGACTGATTTGTCAGCAGTATCAGCATTTCTGTTAAAAAATATAAGATGTGAAAATACATTACTCTTAAGGTACAACCAAGATCTTTATGCTTCAGATAGGAGTATAGGTTTTCAATCAGCAAAAGTCACTAAAAAGGTACATCTATATTTAATTGTATTCAAGCATAGAAAAAGGAAGCAAAAAACAAGGGAGTCAGAAATATCTTTTTTGCTTACACTTTGCCTTGGGGTAATAATAACAGTGGATAAATGGGTGAAAGTTTTTCATGGTTAATTTTTGTCTCTAAAATAATTTTAATTTTGGAAACTTTATAAAAACAGGGAAAACTATAGTGAGCTGTAAGGGTATTTCTTTCTCATAGTAACATGTTTTTTGCTCTTTTGTTTGCTTGCTTGTTTCTTTTTTTAAAATGTAGGAGAATGATTTTGACTCTACGGGTGGACTGCTAGGTGCAACTATGGGCAGACTGAGAACACTCTCCAGAGGAAGCCAGACAAAGCTATTATGCTACATGATGCTCTTTTCATTATTTGTTTTTTTTGTAATATACTGGATTATTAAAATGAGGTGATGCATGTTACCTCTGGTTTACATTGTATAATTTCAGCTGTAGACTTAGTTAATGAAGACATTGATTTCTAGTGGCACATTTGGTGGATAAAACAGTGAAATTGTTGTAAATTGCATTAACAATTAATGCGAAGTTATATATAATTTTCTTAATGTATCAGAGTTTTTCCTCCTGTTTTGGGGGGATTATTTATAAATATGCAGAAACAGCTAGCCTAGTGGGATGGATTTTTTTAGGGGAAAACTGTTTTTAGAATTGATTGAAAACATTCAAAGAACAGTGGTTATTTGAAAATGAAGTAATTGCAGAATTTTGAGGCTTTCTTTTTCATTCTGCTTTTCATTCTGGACCATGCTCTAAATTAGAGCTGCAGTTTCAGGCATATAGTAATTTCAGTTGCAAGAGCACAAACAATATGTGGATCTTTCTAAATAGATCTTACCTGTGGAGTTTTAAAGGCTGGCCTGAAGCTAGCAAATGTAATAGTGGTACCCCCAAAAATTACTTTTGTGGTTAGATCTGATAATGTTTAAGTAACTTTAACTGCGTGTTTTGGCAAGAAGTTACTTAAAACTGGATTTTTTATTTTTTAATTTAAAGGTGACAGATTATGTTTACACATCTACTATTTTAAGCAAATGCCTTTCATCATTGGGACCAGCCAATATAGACACAGTACAAATGTTTTCTTTATATTTAAAGTATTTAAAACTTAAATGATTCAATTGAATCACTTGAACTTCTACCATTAGTATGTTTACTTTTCAGTTAGTGATAGTCCCTAAATCTACAGCGCATGATGTCTGAAATACAATGGCAGATATTTTGAATTTTACGTTAAAGCATATTATGATGCACTTGTTGGAGGTGCAGTCACATTAAGGTATGTTATTTTGAAGACTTAATTTTGGCTCACCAAGTAGTTTCTAATCATTAAGGCTATTACATTGCTGAGTTTAATATTCAAAAAAAAATTAAGTTTGCTAGATATTGAAATTGTATCTACAATTTTTGAAAAACTTTTTTAGAAATTCTGTATGATGTGTTACCATTAATGACAAATTATGAATTTACAAATAAAGTGTCCTGTAGTATTATCCTAGCTAGTGTTGTTTATACACATTTTTTCTACTGTGGAATACCAGTATATTTTTTTAAAATGGTGGTGTATTTAAGGGGCAATTTCTATTGTTTTAATCAATAATACAGGCTGCCTCTTCCAGCTTAAATGGCTTTTTAAGGAAGACTTAAGTAATTACGCACAGTTTTCATATTAATGTGTTTAATATTTTCCTTAATAATTATTAAGAAAACACAACATGGTACATTGCTGCTGAAGTTCAGGCCTCTGCAAGCTTCAGATACACTTAAACAGTTGTTTATAGTGTTCTACAAATAAAACTAACACTAGTCCCATCACCAAAAGTCCGCAACAGAGGAGTACAAATTGATACAGATTTCACAAAGACAGAGCTCATTTTTGCTTGCTAAAAGTGAAAGATAGGGAAGGTAAGGCACTGTTCTGGGGTTTCATTATGGCAGGGAATAATTTGTGCCATAGTTGTTCATCTTGAAAGCAAAGCTATACTGAAATGAGATTAAGCTACATAGCTTCCATTCACATGGAAGTTCTGTTTCGTAATTGTCAGCTTAGATGCTGTGAAGTGTAGATAAAGCTTGATTAAAGAAGATATTTTTTTCTGTGTGCTTGGCCCGGGTCATTGGAAAACTTAGGTAACTCACTGAAAAAATGGAATGCAGGAGGCTGCAAGCTTTCAGAGTGCTTCATATCAACAAAAATTTGACACTGGAAAACACAGAGTGGTAATGGTGAAAGACCTTGATTTGCATTCTGATAGCAAAATTACTGATCTGTTTTCTGCTCGAAGTGTACTGCCTGCTTGTCACCTTCAGTGTGCAGTACAAGTCATGCTCTTGCTTTCTTAATTTTCAAGGAAGAGTGCAGATGCATCACTTTCTTGGAAGTATGTCCATGTATTTGCATATGATGGAAAGCATGGTTTCGTCTGTGCCACCTCCTATTGACATCAATCTCAAGTCCCTGCAGAAATATAAAGGGTAGATTTAAACATTTGTATGCTGTTGTGATGGTGCTGTGCTGGACAGCTTGCCCAGAGCTACTTACACATTGCATACAAACACCACATGCCGCTGGCTCCTGGGCAGGGGTCTGTGGTGCTTCCCACAACACCCCTGCTGCTCCTGTCCCAAACCTGTGGGTGCCTAAGCCTGCAGTTGAACTGTAGGAGGGGAGGGAGCTTTTCCTGGGCCAGCAGCAAAAAGCATTGCAGCACTTAAATTTGCTTAACTGGTAAAAGAGTCAACCAGCACATGAGGTATTGGAGAATTGCACAGAAACAGTACAATTTCCTTTCAAGGTTTTTAACCAATCCAGGTTTTCCTAATGGCTACATAAGATCTGGTAAAAGCCTTATTAGCATTATATAGTACCTTAATGTTTCATAGTATCACAAGTAGTGTTGTATGGTATTCTGGTGTGGTTTCATATAGTATTATGGAGCTTCTGTGCTTTAAAAATTAATGGCTGCTTCAAGAATATTTATTCTTTATTTGATATTTCTAATAAACCTGCCCTAACCATCACTAAGTCATCCCTAACAGTACTGCCTACGTTCTCTGTGCCAGCCAGAATGCTAACTACTGCAGCCTCGAGCAATTTTACTCACAAATATTTTACCTCACGGAAGAAAAAAACATCACCAATAAAACTACCAGAACAATTCTAAACTACATCTACTTAGTAACCTGAAGATTCCCCACCTTCCTATGGGCCTTGCTGAAGGCAGCAGACCTGGAAAGTGGTAGATTGCTTGTTCTTAGTGGTGCAGTGCTATCTGCTTTGTCAAGCTGCAGAAAGCCCCTGCCAGTGCTCAGCATTGGCATCTTCACTGTAGCAACAGCAAGTAACTAATCCTCAGAACTCCTCTGTGATGTCAATAGAAATCCTCTCTATGCAGCAGGAATCCTGGACACATGGGGCTTGTTTATATGAAATTATAAATAGACAGTGCTAAGATCTGGTTTTGGTGTGTGACAAACAAGTCAGGCTGTCACATATACAGACACATCCCAAAAAAACAGAACACCTTTCGTACGTTTTCTGCTTGTGTGTATCTTTACAAATTTGCTGATTATATTTTTGTCTCAATGGGTGAGATAAAGAATATTTCTTACAGGACCTACAGCCAGGTGCTGATCTTTCCTCTGAGGAGACAGGACAGGTTTCCCCCTTAATGTAAATGGATTAAGATGACAAAAGATACAAATTACTTTAATCCAGAAGCCTTCTTCTGAGAAAGAAACTTGCTTTCATCGTAAGAAGACGAAACCACAGGATTAACTATCCTGACAGAAACTCTGTAAGGAAGCTGGGAAAGAGCACATAGTGAAGTCAACTTCTATATCAGTTATTTAATGTATGCTTATGCTTATTAATACAGCACATAAATATTTCAATATATATAAATATTGGAATTGGATTGCTTTTGTAAGGGACATCGTTAGGCTACTGCTGTAAAGGCTTTTAATCTGGCACAATAACATTTTGCTTTTGATTCCTGCATCACTTTTGTTGCCACATGACAGAGCAGCACATCATGAACTACCTGCAGCCCTGCCGAGGTGAGCACCCCCTGACAAAGGACCATGAGGAACCAGCCTGCAGCACACCAGGCAGTTTGTAAAAGTGTAATTTTGAGGTACCAAACCTCTAGCCACTTGTTGAATGTCATTGAATGCTGTTTTCTTTAGAGAGTGGGAGTTAACCTGAGGAAGGACAAAAATCCAACTATTATGTTCTATCCCTCTAAAACATTCCCTGCGAAGAATTTCCTTACATTCAGGAAATCCCATGTGTCTGAAATACTCACTGTAGATTATAAGACTTCACTCAACCAAATCAAGATATATAAATGGCAATTAATAATTTTTTTAATGAATAAAAAATAATCCATGTTTTAATGAATAAAAGGAAAAAAATCTTCAATGTCACATTAAAAAACTGCACTTAGGAGGGAGAGTGAGGAGCCATTCCCACCCACCAAACTCAGTCCAGGTAATTACTAACTTCTAGTTAGGTAGTAACAGGAGAAAAAAAAGCCCTCCACGTTGTCAAATTGTGTTTCCCATCTCCATAGAAGCCATGTCATACAGCCTAAAGAAATGTGTCAAGCATTGCTTAAAGGAGAAAAAACAAGATCCCTTTAATCTTAGACTACCCTAATTTGAAGGTTATAAGATAACAAAGTTGTTCTAATGATTAGGAACCCTCTAATTTACAGCATGAAAATGTCTTTCTGAACAGTGTTATCCAAAATAGTCTACAGTTTAACATTCCTTTGTTGGCTGGTGTTGACCCCTCTGCACCCTGAGTGACATTTGCACCTTAGCACAAGCTAAGCTATGTCTGTTACCCGGCCCCTAAAACTTTTGGTCCCAGTTTTCCTGAAAATCGGGTCCTTATTCCAGTCTGAGCTCTTCCTTCTATGCGATTTCCCCAGCCATAAGGCAGGGACAGGTACCCATTCACAGCACAAGCAAAGTTTTAGATTTTTGCATGTGCTATATGCAGCTTAAGGCACGCTAAATCCGTTTGTAGCTTCAAGCTGGTAAAATGTGATCCTGTTTGCAGTTGTGCCTTCCAGTACCATTTATTACCTACAGCTGAAAAGCTGGGCCTGCTCTGAGAGCTGCTTTACAATTGCATTTTCCTCTGGAAAACCATATGGAATTGGATTGAAGCCCTTTCTGCTCCCAAACAAACAGAGAGGAGCCTGCTGCACTATCTATGATGCAGGTGTCTTCACAAAACTTCAAACTTCCTGCCAAAATAAACTAAGAATTTTTTTCCCCTTTTCTGGCAGCGATCAGTGCCAGTCAGACAGGGGGAAGAAAGTGGGTTTTGGTGATTTAAGCCCTGGTTTCCCCTAATAGCCTGGCATTATGGCAGAAGTCCTTCAAAGATGCTGCTCTCTGCTTCCCTGGTTAGAAGGCCATTGGTAAAAAACCTTACCAAGTTTTGCATGGCTCAGAGTATCACTGCTTCTTTTCAGCACAAACTGCACTTGATTACAAAACCTTTACCCTTTTTTCTCATAAGCACGATTTTAGGTTTTAACTATTTAAAGGCTTTATTACTGGTAAGAATTTCCTCCAAAAAAGGTACTGATGAACCCTCAAGCCACAATATTTTGTGACTTCTTCCATCTTCAGTTTCACTAAATTACCTATAGGCTGTCCAAATTAAGCAGAATCTGAAGGAGGCTTTGTTCTAGAGAGAAGAGTTTGAGCTGGTGCCACTCAGTGCAGCAGGCATCTGACCAGGCTGGCACAGCCCACAGCTGTGCCTGCCAGTTCCCATGACCCTGTTCCTTCCCCCTCAGGGATATTCTGAAGGCCAAGATGAGGGAATGGCCTGCTCTGAGTATAAAGCAGAGTCAAGAACAGCTCTACTTTAAAGTCATCATTGTACAGTTACCTGCCTTGATTTCCTGTCTTAAAGGTAGATGTCATGTGCTTCATCTCCTAAATTCCTTCTCAAGGTACTCATAAAAGTTAAACAAAGTGGTAGACAGGCGTCTGTCTCAAAACCTCTGCAGAAAAAGCTGGAAACTGCAGATTTTGTTTCACAGATGACAGGAACTGGTATTAAGTCTTGTCTCAGCAGTTAGCTACAGACTTCAAAGCAAATTGGTTTTGTCAGCAGAAATGGAAAGGTTTCATTTTGTTTGGTACAACTATAAATTACTATATTGAAATAAACTGATTAAACTCCCCAGTTGTCTCGACTCAAGTTTAGACATGCTTTGTAAGGAACGAAAGACAATAAACAATGAAATAAAAAATGAAACTGAATGAAGTATTTAAACTAACTTTTTAAACATAAGAAGGAAAAAAATCTAGACGGAAAGACATTACTTATCTATCCTCAATTACAAATATACCTTCATATTGCAATAACTACATGCCAGTTGATGAAAAAAATGAAAATGTGTTTCTTCTGCAGCTATGCATTTTCAGTGCTACTTACACTTCTATTTCACATGAGTAGTAGAATGTTTTTCACTGCTGCTTTCTTGAGTCTTTTACAGTGTAGCAAGAAATGATGGCATTCTCCCCATCACAGCCCACTTGTGAGAACTGGCAGCAGTTAGACATGGTGTTTAGCAGTTAATAACAATCTTAATTAAAAATAAACCTAACAAACCAAACTCTTTTAAGAAGACCACATAAGGTCTTCCAATAACAATTGAAGTTCACATAATTACTATTAAAACATATGGATCACTACCTAAAATTTTTTAAAACTCATGAAATCTGAAAAATTGCAATAAACTTGATACTAAAAGATTTCTTTCCTCTATCTCTCATAACCCTGGTTTTTCATATAGATGATGGGTTTGTTCAATAATAGATTTTTGCTAAGTCTCAATGGCTTTAAGGCCTTTCAGACAGAGAAGAGAAAAATAAACAAGAATGACTCCAGGCTAGTGCTTTCCTTCTCCAGAATCCTGCCATTAGGGTACAGTCTGGAAAGTCAACTCTTTATGGCTTTTATATTGGCTTGTATTTTTCTATTAAACATTTTCATATTTGGGCTCTAAGATTTTTTTTCTTAACCTATTCCCTTTTTAGAATCTGTACTAGTTAGACAATCACATACATAAAATCAACACAGTATAGACACCTACATGGTGAAGCAGCTCTCCATGCTTTCTAGAGAATAAGTGCTTAAGAAATGCCAGTTGTTCTACAAAGTTTAAAAGGTTACTGATAAAAAATAAGTTGGCAAACACTTTTGTGCTATTTCTGTTTATGATCTCTAACTGACCCTAATAACTAAAATTCAGAGACCTCATGCACTAACTATACATTGTGCTGTATGTTCTTTGAGGCGTGAGTAACAGCCCGATGTGTCGAAGACTAACCTACATCTCTCTGGGAACTTCATAAAGATCATGCTACAAAAATGTTTCTACATTAGGACTAGATGTCCTGCTGTGCAATTATACTGCTGCTACTGGACAAACATCACAGTGACGTGAATAGTTACTCAGACGGCCGTACTAAAAGGAACGACTTTAGGGAAGTTGCTGCTTTGCTTATTGTTACAGATTAACAAGATTCTATCTTGAACGTGTAATCGTTTATTTAGGTAAAACTCTCCTTGTCCCTTCCTGGACCTTTGGTTACTCAATGGTGGAATTTTACTGAATCATAGAAATTTTCAGAGTATAAATATCACACTGCCTTTAGCCTCATTTATGACAGTGTTTGTTTTAGAGGTAGAAAGATATATTTCTTTAGCCAGCTGGCTGTGCACACCAACAGGAAACACTCTGAATTTCTTCTAAGGAAAAATGTGACTGTGCTGGTATAATTGGAAATCACTCTGAAATCCACACAAAAAAGAAAGCCCTGCTCACAGTTAGCACTACTATACTGGGCTAGGAAATCTTAAACAAAGCTATGTAAAAGCATGTACGCATTAATCTGTACAGACTACATAATTTACAGTAAGTGCTGCAAAGACAAGGATTCATTTTATTCAGAGTGCCTACTGCAGTAGCTCTCAACATCTCCATCTCCAGTGACCATTAGTTGTTTAAACAAGGCTGTGAAAAAAATAACTAAGGAAAACCATCATATTGACAGCTGGTTTAAAACCACCATCATAAAGGAGTCTGTACCTTCATAAGAAAAAATTCAGGAGTCCACTTGTCAAAAATATTGAGGATCTCTTGGCTTACTGCAATAGCATTCTTATTCATAAAATGCTATTAAAAATAGAAAAAGTAACCCAACCTACCTATGAAGAAACAAAATTTTTGCAGGTTTTCTCAAGTGTTCTGCTCTCACTTTACACAGATATATTTACCAAAACTTTCAACTAACCGAACCACTGATTTGGCTGACTTTGGATTAGGTATTGTCTATGTAACAGCTGAACAGAAAACTGTTACTGCAAATGAATCCAAGGTCAATTTTGGTCCTTCTACAGAATGTAACACACTGAAGCCAGATACCAAGAAAAATGTTTCCTTAAGGAGAATTTTGCTCTAAGTAGATAGAGACTAAAATTTGAAGGGACTTCAATTAATTTGCAAAAAGGCTTCTGTACCATTTTAATGATCTAACAACTTTCTGGAAGCAATTACATCTCTTGTATGTCTCACATGGTATCTAGTGTGACTAAATGGGTGGAGACTGCTATCAGAACAGACTACTGCAGAAACCAAGTGGGAAACTCCAGTTTCACACATAGCCGGGGAAAAGAGGATTTTCATTCATTTTAGAAGAAGATTTATTTCTGTTCTTGTAATCAAGATTACAAGCACAAAAGGCAAAGAGAAAAAAGTCACTGATTGGTAGCTCTCAATTTCCCCCCTCTTTTTTCTACTCTGTGGCAGATAGCAGAGGACCATCATGGAAAATACTGAGTTTTCCTCTTTCATTTGACATTTAAGCTAACCTGTGGGCAGTTCAAACTTCACAACTATAACACAAAGCCAAGATTTGGCAAAAGACTAGCAAGTTCTGACACATGTCTACCCAAAGTTAGTTGCACTGGGTGTCCTTGCATCCACAACCCACTTCAGTGACGTGCTATGAAGCAGAACAACACTATTCACACTGGTGAGAATCTTTTCAAGTAGGTGATTGTTTAACAGGATATTTAAGAGGCTAAATTTCAGTTAAAGACACTTTGTATTTTCATCACTCCCTTACCTGTAAAACCTGCTCACGAGAACTTCATTGGTGAATCCCATTCCTCCCCAAAACTGGAGACAGCTGTCAGTCACTTCACAGGTCAGACGACCTGCCTTTAGCTTAGCCATGGAAGCAAATTTTGTCACATCGTTGCCTTCTACATAGAGAGCTAATAAAAAAAGAAGAGATAAAAAAGCAGTCACTCTGGAAGCCACCTCCCCATGTTCCTTTAGCCTGACAAGGGTCTTTGCACAAGAGGAGCAGATCTGGGCAGCAGAGTGGGAGCTCACCCACGGCGCGGTGCAGCAGCGAGCGCAGGAGCTCCACCTCGGTTGCCAGCTCGGCCAGGCGGAAGTGCACGGTTTGGTTGTGCAGGACAGGCTGGCCAAACACCTTCCGCTGCCCTGTGTAGTCAATAGTTTCTTGTAGAATAGTTTCCATTGGTGTCAGGGCTGGAGAAACAAAGCACAGAACAAGATATAATTTTAGCCAGATCTGTTTAGCTTCTTGTTGAAAAAGAAGGTTTTTTCACATTGTACAACCAGCACATTAAGTTTTTTAAAATAAATGGTTCTGTACACTCAGTTTGCAGTGAAGCCTCAATTCTGAGAAAAGTCTGGTACTTCCTTGTACCTTGAAGACATCTATCTCACTTGAGCCCTAAACTGCCAAAACCTGGAAGAGAGGGAAGAGAAATGGGTAGGAAAGGAGAGCATAGAAAGCAGTACCAACATGATGAGATAAACTTTATGCTTAGTGTCTCATTTAGGGCCCTAGCAAAAGCTTCTGGCAACTCCTACTTTCCATGCTACCTGTGCCCTGAAGGTTTTTTAAAATCCTGGAAAAAAATCTGAAGGCTGACAGTGTAGTGTGCTTGGTGAGGAAGGCTGCAGAAATATAAATTGAAGGAAGCCTTCAGAGAGAAGGCAGAAACCTGTTCTGAGATCAAGGAACACAAACAGACTGCTTGTTACATCTGCATTCAGTGATCCCAGCATAGAGAAGAAAAAAAAGCATATCCACTTTAAAAAAAAACATTAAATAATTCTCCTAATGGAAACAGAATGAAAAGAGGATACTGCTGTAAAACATGTGAGAGGGGCAGCAGAAGATGCTTTCAAGCAGAGCTAGTTTGCTGCTGCTTTTTGTGCAACTGAGACATATATCATTTTAAACAAGAAAAAAAGGGAAAAGTTTCTCTTCTGAGGCAAACCAGCCTTGAAGTGAATGACTAAGCTATCAGTCTCTTGCAGTGTAGCTGGGATAACAGCAGATACAGAATGTGTGGAGAATTTTGTTTGGCAAATATGGGCTCATGTTACTATGAAAAGCAGCAGGGCATGATTTCATAAATTTATCTGTATGAGAAGGGTCACATTTTCTCTTTTCAAAATATGCATATCCACATCCATTTGCATTTAAAGTCTAAACCACAAAACTCTGAATATGAAATGCAAAATAAACCCAAGCCTTGGACTAGGATGAAATACCATTTCCTACCTGCCAGTTACTTACATGATAATCCCTTGCAGGAGCCTGGCCTGGTTCCATGTACCTTTTTGCTTTGTTTTCAAGATCACTGCTAATTAAATTTTATCTCTGTACTGCTCTCCTGTGTAGACTCTGCATCCCACTAATTTCCCCTGCCATGATCATTCTCTATCACTTCCAGAGTGCCACTTTTCACATGATGTCTCCACATTCCATAGGGTGATCAGCTTTTCTCACTACCTAAATATTTTCCCCTCCTTTCTCATACAACTAACCTCAATGCTTATTTTTCAGAAGAACATATACAGTAATATCCTCATTTCTTCTGTGTTAACACACAATGCTGTCACCCAAATTCTGGCTTTCTGGATAGGAAAATAATTTTCTCTTTTCAGAAACATCTCTTGAATAGAAATACTGCCCTTCCAAAGGACAGTGTCACACAACACTGTAGCATGTATAGCAGTTAATTTTTTATTTGTATATCTATGGTCTCCAGCTTGAGAAGTGTAAAGAAAGAGCAAGGAGTATCCAGGCACCATTTGTCCCTTTCCCTTGGACTGAAATCTGGGAAGAATACAGCAAAGTCTGAGCTGATGGGTGGGAAACTAAACAGTACATGCCAGTGCTAGGAGAACAGAAGGGAGGTGGAAGGGATAAAGATGAGGGATTAATCTTGTGTTGGTCTGTCAGTGCAAGGTGCTCCAGCATGGCTTGTGTTGTTCCCAGCGCCCAGCACCAGGGAAAGAGGGATGGGAACAGCAAAGAGGAGGCAGGAGCAAGATCAGGTGGGAAGAAACAGGACAGAAAACGTTTAGGTCCTGCTTGCAAAAGGTCTAAAGATCATGAAGGGACTTAGCCAGACTCTGCTCAGGCTGTCACCACACATCATGGCTCAGACTGGGGTTCTGGGAAAACTGCTCTTATACTGTGTCCACCTCTCCAATCCACTGCTGCTTTTCTGCCCCTGCTGATCCATCCTCCTCCTTTGCTGCCATTACTGCCCTTCTTATTTCAGGAACTATTATTTGCACACAGAAACAAATAGAGGAACTCTAAGGAGTGTCCTGGGCTGCTTCAAAAGAGGTCATCAGGTCAAGGGTCATGGTTCTCTCCCTCTACTCTGTTCTCCCAAGACCCCATCTGGAATACTGCATCCATCTCTGGAGCCCACAGTACAAAACAGCCATTGATCTGTTGTTGCACTGGGTCCAGAGGTGGGTCCTGAAGAAGATTAAAGGGCTGGAGCACCTCTCCCATGAGGACAGGCTAAGAGTGTTGGGGTTGTTCAGCCTAGAGCACTGCAGCCTCTGGGGAAGCCTTGTTGCAGCCTTTTGGTATATAAAGGGAGCTTATAAGAAAGATAGGGACAGAGTTTTTACCAGATCCTGTAGTATCAGGACAAGAGGAACTGGTTTTAAATTGAAAGAATGTAGATTTAGAGAAAACAAAAGGAAGAATGTTTTGGAACTGGAACTACATGATCTTTAGGGTCCCTTCCAACCCAAACCATTCTACTGGTCTTATGATTTTAAGATATTCCTGATGAGAGTGGTGAGACACTGGAACATGTTGCCCAGAGAAGTTGTGGGTGCCCCAAGACACATCCATTCCGTGGACATGTTCAAGGCCAGGATGGATAGGCTTTGAGCAACCTGGTTTAGTGAAATATGTCCCTGCTCATGGTGGAGGGGTTGGATGTGATGAACGCTAAAGGTCCCTTCCCAAACCATTCTGTGATGCTGATGACAGGTACTCAGAGCTCTGAGCACAGCTCTAACATGGCAAAGCTTGGCTGTGTAGCAAACAGCACCAAAACACAGCCCATCATGAGTACCATGACAGCCAACAGCTGTGTTCAACAAGATAACAGCACACAACACTTTGCCAGTCATATGAATTCAGAGCAATGCCATTCATATAGGGAACAACCCTCTTTTCCTGTGGATTTGTTTCCTTTTCTTATACAATGCTCCCCACATCCTCAGACAAACTTAGCCCCATGGGTTTCAACTGACAGCATGCAGGAAATGTCACTCTAGGGCAGCCTAAGGAATGCATGGCCTACCACACAGCTGAGAATTGTGAAAGCACTTGAAGTTGCCAAATGCAGAATAAACTTTTCCTTGTATCTCCGTCCAACTTATACTATTCCACTTGAAATTTCTGCTCACTGTAAAGACACTTTGTCTTGTTGCTGTTTCCTCGCAAAAGAAAAGGAATTAATATCTTTTTCTTAGTTTGTGACTGATCATTCTCTAATGAAACGTACAGTGAGCTCTAAGCTGAGCAATCTGATTTTTAAGGATGTGTGTTGCCCATGCAAAAGGATCTGTCATCCGCTTACTGGCTGTGACTCAATGGTGCTCATGAAACTGAAGTTGCAGGAGCAAATACATGTCATTAGAAAAGTGCCATTCTGCTTTCACATGCACACTGAATTCCCTCTTTGTCTCTGAGCTAAGCAATTCACAACACAACTGTTTGCTTTTTTTGCCATAACAACATTATTTTCCTGTGATCAGTGCAACAGGCCCTCAAAGTGTTTACCAAGTGTCACAACACGGGATACACGTGGCACCTTTTTTCTTTCAATGAAGCAAGAAACACAGTGACTTTGACCAATGCCTTTGAGGATATGTCACTCAGAAGAAGAGACCACACCTAGGAACAAATTTTGCAATTCCAGGAAGCTAGTTTTCCATTTGTATGTTAAACCTGTTTGATTGCAAATAGATTTTAAAAGAAAAAAGAAAACAAGTGAAGAAAGATACTGGCCACAAAGGAGATAATTAATAAACAAAAAGAAGTCTAGAGCATGCGATACTTTAAACTAAAAATACATAAACCCCCCCACCAAACAAAGAGAAACAGAACAAAAAACCCCCAAACACAAAAATATAACACCCAGAAAGGAAAACCAGACGAGAATGGCAGTCAACTGCCTTTTCCAAGTTAAAGTGAGGAAAGCAGGATTGGTCCCTAAAGTATCTAAAAGCAGACTGATGATTTTCAGTGTCACAGTCATGAACTGGGAAGGAACAGAAATGTCCTACTGAGGGGCAGAAGTGAAGACCAGGGTTAAACATGCAGACTTAATCCCAAAACTGATGAAGGCACTTAGTTTCATATATCTGAGCCTTCACCTGAGCAGTCATGGTTGAACATACGCAAAACTATTTGCATTAACTCCTCTAGATGCTGTGATACAACAAACTGCACCCATCGAGTACTGAGCTCCCTTCTGAACACTGGTTAGTCCTTTTTGTGTTTACAATTGGAGATCCCTGAAGATTTCAGTTTGCCCCAAACCATGGGTCTTGTCCCTGCTGCCAGTGCTTTTATGCATTTTACATCAGATAGTTGAAAAAAAGCAAACCCAAGAGGTCCAACAAGGTTTTACACAGCAGCCACTGCAGAAGGCTGTGCCCTCTCCTTGGGGAGCTCCTAGACTCCTCCTGCCTGCTGTCCCCTGCCTGGCCATAGCAGGCAAGGAGAAATGCCCTTCCCACGCTGCTCACCCAGGGCAAGCGTTCACCTGCTCCTGCTGCGTTGTTTTGGACAAAAAAAATGAATTGCAACCTGGTGTTGCAGTTCCTGGCAGAGCACAGCGACAGGCAGGCAGTTGTGCAAGACTGGAGAGTACCAAGCTGCCCGTGGTTTCAGAGGAGTGATCTAACCTGCCGGGCTGTGTGCACTGATGCTGTCAGTGCGCGTCACTTTCGCCCGGGGCATGACTAATGCTGCCTGGGGAGTCTCGCTGCGGCCCAGAGCTTCTTATGGTCTGTATAATTTAGACTTCAAACTGAGAATAAAAATGCACAACGCACATCCTTGCAGTCTGTATACACCTCAGTTAAAGCAGAGCTGTGGTAGGATCACAACTCCTGCTTGCCTGAGTCTGCAGTGACAGCCTTGGCAAGTGTCACCTCCTGTCCTTTGCCAAAACTACACTCACATGTCCTATTTATCTCAAGCTGAACTAAGAACTTTGTCTCAATAAACGATTTTTTTTAAAAGGCATTTGAACTCCAAAATATTTGGTCTGGGATGAACCCAAAGCAGTGAGTGCTTTTTTTATTTGTTCACTGAATCAAAACACCACTTCTTAAAATGCTCAATTCCCCAGCCACACACAGACAGTTAAAGACAGAATGCACAGGAGTGTGAATACAGTGACATTACTTAGACAACCCTGGAATCTAAAGAAGACCAATCTTCTTACAGTGAACCACATTATATTTAACCAAACACTGAGTGGTAGGGAGAAAGTTTGCAGGCTGAAAGTAGACAATTCAGACTTGGATCTGGTTTCCTGGAATATCCAGAATCCATATAACCCAAATACACAGATTTGAGTATAGCCTGAGTTCTGAGTAACATAAATTCTGTGATGACATAACTTCAGGGAAATGAATGTACCACTTATGTCCAGATGTAAAACATCTGCAAAACAAAGCTCTGACATCCGCACGGGCCACTTAACTTTATGCAGCCAATAAGTTAATTTTCTAAAATCCATGATCAGCATGATAATGCACTGTACTACAGGAAAAGTCAGCATCCTTCTAGTTCATGTTGATACTTTGATAGCCTTTGCACTATATTTGTAATAGACATAACATGATGCCATATTTTCTTATCAGCAGAGTAGCACCAAGAAAAAGAAACAAGGCAAAAAGAGCCTCTGAAATGGCTCACAAAATATTTTCTGCTCCAGGTTTTTCTACAGAAAAAGGAATTTTTCTACAGAAAGGGAATATTGTCTGTATCCAGGCTGTTTTTTATTATTTAAAAAACAGATCCTAAAAGGTCATTGCAACTTACAAGAAAAGTGCTGTTAGTGATGCAAACAGTGACCCCTGTGTCTCTGCCTGGCTGCAGAAGCATGAACGATGACTTACCAGTGGCTACTCCCCACAGCCGCTCTTCTTGGAATTGCAACATCTGGTATGTAAAACCCTTTCCTTCCTCACCGATGAGGTTCTTGCAGGGGACTCTTACATCTTCAAAAAAGATCTGAGCTGTGTCCGATGACCTCATACCTAGTTTGTCTATCTTTTTAGCAACAAGAATGCCTGAAGAGAAAGGCATATGAGAAAGGGGTATGAGAAAGGCCACCAAAAATAGAACCACTATGAATAAATACACTGTTGTCAGAAAGAAAAGTCTGCAGATGTGAATGTATGTTCCAAAACAACAGTGAAACCTACCTTTAGGAAAAATATAATAATATTCTGGAGTAAAGTGGCCCAAATCCTATTTTAAAAGGGTTTTCCACTTTACTAAACCAGCAAATGAGAAAATTTTCATTATGTACCCAAATAATGAATATTTACTATTCATAATAAACTGGCTCCACACAGATCTTCAAACAATGCAATATTTATTTGTTTATGTTTGATTTTTATTTAGCATTATAATAAAATTCAATTTGGCAATATTTGCCAAGTACCTGCACTGCTATGAAACAGTACACAAATATTCAGTAAGGACAAAAACAGAGCTGTATTTTAAGCTGAAGCTAAGAGTATTTCTCCTTGAAATTCTCTTCCTTCCCTCTCTTCTTCATTTATCCTCCCCTTCCTAGCCTATGCTGTTTTTTTCTGGTACAGTGATCACTCTGACTTTTCATGTGTGTATGTTTGTGAGGAGGGTTTGCTTCTCCACAGACCTCTCTAGACAGCACTGACTCTGACCCCACGTGCATTGGTCTGTTGAAGATGAACCTGGTTCATTCAGGTCTGGCCACATGAGGGTTCAGCTACCTGAACCCTCAGGAAGGGCAGGACTCCTTCCTGTTGTTTGGTTTTTCTTAGCTACAAGTTCTTCCTTGCATAGCTTACCCCTATGCCATGAGAGTTTAACAGGCATCCACTGTTTTCTCATGGCATTTCTCCTGTCTTCAGCTTTTATCTCCCTGTTGATCTGGAGTTAATTCAAATATTCAGGGTGAAAGTCAAGAAAGTTTCAAAAGCAAAAGGAGGACAACAACCAGGCATAAGGATTTGTGCATAACAAGGTAATTACATCTGACAAGTCTGCATGTGTAGCAAAACGGTCCTCCAACTCAGCATATGTATCTTCACCAGAAAACCAAAGCTTTTTACTACTCACGCACATGTTACTCCAACCAGCTTAATGATGAGGAGGTATTCTGTTCTTATTTTCCTCTTTATTCTTTTTCAATCCTCTACTACTCTCTGGCACGGCTCAGTAGAAGCCGGTTGGTCACCACACAGATTGTTCTGGTCCTTCTGTTTGTATCTTGCTATTCTTCACAGCTTTTAGAAAACATCTCTTTCTGAACTAATACAGACATCTCACCCTTTACTCACAGGAGGCCTTCAGACATATGAAAATTACTTTGGTTTTTGTAGGCAGAAGAAGTTGGCAGTAATTTCCTTCACATTTACTCTCTCTGGCTGCACTGAATAAGGTTGTGGAAATTTTCATCTCTTCACAGAGATGAAATACTGACAGTATTTACAAATGCCAAGACTTCTCTGAGAACAATATTCACATAGACTTCCACAAGTTGCACTCAAGATTTTTTTCTCCACCAACCAATCTGTAACCAGATTATGTATTAGGAAAACTTGCTTTGATATATGATCAATGTAGGAATAAAATCAGGACAGAGGTATAAAAATTCTTGACTTTTAAATTGAAAATTATCCAGCAATTTGTACTCAGTCAGCCAAAAAAGCATTTGTAGTTTGTTTCCATATTAAAAACACAGCTCCATAATCATGCACTGGGAAACTTAGAAGCCCAGATGAAATCTGGAACATTGTTTCCCATTGGAAATACTGCTATTTGGCTTCCTTGTGAGTTGCAGACATCATGTATGGTCTAAAGCCAACTGGCGTTATGCAATCACTGCTCCTCACCCATATGAAGATGCACTTACTGCTCTTGCTAGTGCGTGGTTTAAAAGGATTCTTCTTAAGAAAGCACAACTGCTGCCAGTTCATTATTATATTGCTAAATCAATCCTGTTGTTGACTTCCCAGATCCACATACAGCAACCACTATTGAAGAAAGCTCTTACAGGCTTGGTTAGTGAGCTAAATATGCTGATGATTTCTACCAGTAATTCTTGCAGACAGGATTGAGTGTCCAATTTTCCTGGGTCCAGCAGCATCCCCCTTTGTCATGCCCTATCAGCTTCACTTGCTCTTAATTCATGGTTGTCACTCACAAGGAGACCAAGCTGAATCAGTCTCTTCTGAGGCTAGCACATGCTTTACATCGTGGAAGACAATCATACATAATTATCTCTTTGGCCACTATGGGGGCATCAAAATCTCCCTTCCTGTAATTATCTTCCTTCTCTTCCTAAGGGGTACTACAAATGAAAAATGACCAGCAGCGGTAGAAATTACTGGTCCAGATAACTCCTGGTGTTCACCTGTATTAAATAAATTACACACAATAACTCACAAATCTGAATTTATTATGGCCAAGCGCCTGACTTACCAAAATCACTCCAACACACATTTGAGCTACTTGAACCAGTATCATTGAGATGGATTGCTATTTCTCTGCCTGGGCAGTTCTTCCCAAGTGTCTTTGATTTTTCATTTTCTCCCATTCCTCCAGCCTTCTGACAATCTCTTTTATTTCCTGTATTCTATCTTGAGAGAAAGGCAGTTGCTGTCTCCTGACACCATTTAGTGCCATTACAAATGGAAACAGACACACTTTAAATTGCAATCCAAGAAACACACTCTTTTCATGGTTGTTCTTTTCCTTATTAACTCCTCCTTGCAATCTCCCCTAGAGCTGTCTGAGGACTCAGAGGACAAAACAGTTACCATATCAGGGCTGCAAGCCATTTGTCTATATACCTTACACACAGACATTTTGCAGCTTACTAGGTTCTATTTCATTATATGAAAAATTCAGCTGCTTTTCTAAGACATTGTTATTGTATGAGAAGTATTCACCTAATTTGGATATCTATTGTGCATCCATGGTGCTGTTATCCAAACTTCCTTTATGAGAGATGTATTCAGCAGTGTCTATCAAAGCTAGACCATGGTTTACTTCAGCCCAGATTAGAGTGTATATATACCTAAAATTAGAAGAAGCAAATCCTATTATGTCTAGCCAATAAACTATCAATTGTTGAAATTAATAATTAATTTTCAGACTTGGAAACTTTTTCTCTCTCTTTTGTCCCCCACCACACTATATAAATACAAAACAACTTAGATTTTTAGCAAAAATACACCACAGATCCTTTCTCACCCAGCCATAGAGGCTGGTGCCTGCAGAGCTGAGTCAGATACAACACATTTGCTCTCCATTGCAGTTGTTTTTGAGCTTTGACACACAAACATCCACGGGCATTTGAGAGTGCATCATTCTGTGATGTCCTCCAGACGCTTCCTGTACAGCCTTGGTCTGCTGCCCTCCATGGAGCACAATCTTTAGCAGACAGACATCCTTAGGATGTATCAAGCCAGATGAGCTTCCTGAAAAATCTCACTTCTGATATGACTCACCCAAAGAGTACAATCAACAGTCTTAATACTTCATTTCAAAAGGTCGCCAATCTTGGTACTGTGACCCCTTTGGAGATAAATATGTGTATCATCACAAAAGAATTAAAACACATGCATTTTGAGGAGCACAAATTTTGCTCCTAGGGAGACTTCTACACTTCTGCAGATCAGAATAAGGTCTCAGATAATTTTTCTGCTCTACATCTATTTAATGCAGGTAAAGAAGATATGTGTGTAGGCTGTGAGATCTAACATCTCCCCTCTCCTAGAGCTATGACAATTCATGTCTTTTTGGAGTAAGCCAAGTAGCTGAAAACATCTAATCCAATTTCTGTGTATTTTAGCTGCCACTAACTCTGGGTCAGCTGCTTTGTTGTTTTAGGAAGATTGATCTCAGAGAAGAAGTACTGCATTTGCATTCTGACCCCTCCATGAAAAATCACAAGAAGGACTTCATTTATTTATCAGCAGATGGCTGATAAGAGAATTTACCTGGAAATTCAGAGCAATTCTGGCTGCAAGTTACATGTTTGCTCATCACTTCTCAATAAGAATGAAGTTCACCACTAGTGAAAAAGTTCAGGTCTGTCTTCCATGAGCTCCCATTCAAAGCATGTCTTGCATGAGCAGAGGTTCACTCAGTTCACTCAGAACCTGCTTGATTCCCAAGGCTTGCTTGATTCCCACTTGCTTGACTTACTCCATGCTTAAATTCACTTAAAAGACATTCCCTTAAGAAGCCCTCATCATCCTCTTTTGCGACACTGGAGACCTGGGTTTTGTTCTAATCCATTAAGTGAACATAGAGACATTCACTTCACTGCTATGGTGGTGTTCCTACATGTGAAATGTCAATAATGGCACATACTTTGTGTGTAAAATACTCTGAATTGAATGAACAAAAAAGCCCTGAGTATAAATACCTTATATATAAATATATTAATATACATTATTCTGGATTTAATAACTATTAAAAACTATTGAATTGTTAATGGTTTATTTGCATAAAATAAACATTAATTAAAATTAAAATTAAATATACTATATATTATATTGCACATAAATTAATATGTTGCATATTTTTAAACATTAAAATGAGTCAAAACTGAAAAGGTTTAAAAACTTTTGAACAGGTGTCAGAACTGCAAAAGATCCCCACCAGCACAATCTTAACTGCATCCTCTCTGGATGATGTTCTTTATGCATACAGCACTCGTGCATTCTGCAAGGTCTGCAGATTGCTCAGGAACAGACACTGTGTGGATGTACCACTGAAACTGGTAGCCTTAGCTCAGGCAGTAATTCTTCCATGTCTTCACCTGAATTGCTAGTCTTATTCAAAACCAAATCCCTGCTTCCAAGATATTTCAATCTTTCACTCCAGCCCACATTTAACTCTTAGACTATTTTTATAATTTAACTGGCAATAGTGCCCTGGTGAAAGGATCCCTTTGCACAGCACAGCACAGCCATGAAACACTCTGAATGTGCCTGCAATTCTCTTCAGCAATTCTCTTCTACCAGGCTTGAGAGGTATTTCCCAAGTTTGAAATCTCTAAACTCTTTATCCTTTTACTTTCATATGGTTATGAATCAGTGCCATGAAAATGTATCTGAACAACTCCTCTAAATATATTTTTGGTTAAACACCTTTCCTTCTTGTATTAGGCATATAAAAACCACCAATAAAAACCAAATGAGAAGACAAAGAGTTCTGTGTTATTACCAGGTAGATTCATTGGCAGACATATGAGAGATTTATTTCGATGGGGAGGTCCTTTGCTGGTATTTGCCAGGAGCCACATCCAGTCTGCCTGGCTCCCAGTCGTAATCCACATTTTACCTCCATTTATGACATATTCATCGCCCTTTCTCACAGCCGATGTCTTGATATCTATTTCAAAACACAGGAAATGAAGGGTTATTCTTGTGAAGGAGAGGTACATTGGTCCACGTATGACTGGCAGGGTCACTGCCTTGCTCTCAGACAGAAAACTATTTGCTTCTCCCTCATACTCCCCTATCCTGTAACCCTTCCAGGACATAAGGCAAAACAGTCTGGAAAACTTGGAAGGCAAGCCAGGGAAACAGGACCACTTCTCCCATATTCCTTTAGGTGGAGTCTTCATCCCAGTAGATGAGAGCAGAAAGCTTCCTCAGTAGATGTGGTGGTCAAAAACTTGGGAGAGAAGCATTTCACTGTGAGGTGATCTATTAGAGTTTCACTTGCTGTGTACCTTAGTCCTGAGGAGGCCATTAATTCCAGAGTCATGACTTTAGCAAACACAAGCCTCGGTATCTGTGAATGCATAAACATAAACCAACATGCACTTCCTGCATGCTCTTGGTCACCGTGCTGCAATACGTTCAAAGCTGCTAAACTACTAAAGGCCAAGTCTTGCAATGAGTGTCTGGACATGAAGGAACTCTAAACACATGCTATTTATACACCCTGGCAAAAAACAATCTTATTTTCATCTGCAACGGTTCACATCATGCTGCAAACAGTCCTAGCTGCAACAGACAGCCAGAAAGAATAATTATATGTCCTCCAGCAGAGTTTCCAAAGAGCTCCCTTCTTTTCCCTGCAATCAAACTTCTCTGACAAGAACCCCAGCTGATGAGGACTCTCCAACAGTATGCGCCCAATAGTACCTGTGAATCTAACAAGGCTATGAAATCCATAAGAGACCATCCACTGAAGGGGGATCATAGAGAGGAGAGATCCATAGATCTTGGAGAATATGAGTCAGACAAGAAATGGAGTGGGCAGGCAAGTTTAAGTAATCTGGTTACACTTTCATACACAATCACCTCAGTCTGCACATGCATGTTCTCCCTAGGGCTCTAAACATAAACCAAAAGCAAACCCAAGTATCTGATCTTCATTTAGGAGATAAACTGGGACTGAGGTCAGCATGGCTGAAAATTTGTCTTATTAATGAAGGCACAGGAGAAAAATGATGGGAGAAAATTATATAAGGTATAAAATAAGGAAGTATGGGATATAGCTATGGCTAAACGAATGTAAGCAAGGGAAAGAGATCGTAATCATGTAGATAAAACCAGCAGACACAGAGGAATTCACCCAATAAAAAGACTATGGCAAATCTGTCCAAGGGACTCAATATAAAATCTGTATAATAATGAATGCCAAGAACCTTAAGTAATCTAAAGTACTGGCACTTATAATACATGGACACAGACACTGGACACTCATATACATGGAGACTAAATAATAAATGAAGGACACACAAGAGTTGGAATAAGAAATATGACTGTACTGAAGTGGTAAGATGGGAGCATACACAGTGATTTACATCACACATCCCTTTGTTATGGAACAGCTACTGAAGAGATTAGATAGAAGTCCCATAGAAGGTCTGCAAAAGAACAATGAGCACTGTGATGTTACCACAAATGTAAATAGTTCTTGCAGGCATGGCGTCACAGGGGACTAACCACCCAAATACAGATTAAAAGAACAAATGCCTCACTAATGAGAATGATCAAGTACTCCAGATTCAATGGTTCACAGTTTACTTCAAACACTTGAGAAACAACTATTTTACATGATCTTGTGAAGAATTTATTCTCTTTAATTAGAGATGATTAATAAAGATGATCAAATAAATATGTAATATATAATATGTTTAAAATATAGCAGGCTTTGAAAACCTACTTAACAATTCACTATGGTCAAGTAGACCCAGGAATATGGCTATGAAGATAATTTGGAATATTTCACTAGTTATTTTCCCTGACAGAGCATATCTCTGGGAAAAGGCTACTTCAGTGGGTGCTCCATAACTCATTTTTGCAGGCAAATACCACTGACTCTTACAACCATCATTCTCTGAGGAGCCCTTCTAGGGAAGAGCACAAGGCATCACCAGAGGTGAATGATACAGCGGATGCCATACAAGCAGCCAGGGCTGGTCACATCACTGTTCAAATCACACCTACTCAAGCCTCAATTTTCCTCTCCACTGCACTCAAGTCCAGCCATGTGCTTAAATAGATTTGATTAAAGGTAAGGTTGGCTTCACCTTTTAAGGTCAGTATTACAGTCAGAGATAAGAAACACACATCCTTAAAGTAAAGTATGATAAACATACCTGAAATTTACATCATCATCACACGAAAAAAAGACAACTCAAAACTTTAAAGAAATACCTTCATGTCTAACTGAATGAATAATCACTTCAAAAATCAGGAAATTACTTGTAGGAAATGAACAAGATTAATCATGAAAGTAAGCTACAATTTGGAGATTAGAATATAAGCACTGCAGCAGGTTGAACTAAGTTAAATCTTGCAGATGAAAACCAACAAAATCAAAGAAGATTGTGGTAGAAAACAATACTGTTTCAACCACAGAAATGAAAACAGGATAGCAAAAAAAAAAGGCATATAGAGGATACTTTAAAAAATATTTCACAAGAGATTACAGTCAGATTCACAATTTGGTTGACAAAGCAGAACAAAAAAAGAGTGTATAGAAACTGAAATTAGTGAAAAAAGAGATTGCTGGTTTTAGCAATCTGCACAACCTGAAAATATTTTTGGAAATTAAAAAAAAAAAAATTCAGTTTACCCATGGTATCTTATTTAAACCCAACCTGATTTATTATGAAATAGGCTTTTCTAGAGAAAAATCCTATTGGACCCAAGCAAGTGAAATTAACACTACTAGGTAACTTTGAATTAAAATTTGAAAATATAAGAATTAGAACAAAAGTGGAAATGTGCATAAGGAACTTGGCGAAGCAGAAATTGCATCAGGTTACATAAAAAGAAGCAATTCTGATGTACAGAGAAAATTTATATCAGAATGTACAGTGAATGATGTACTAGTTAAGCCCCTCCTTGGATATCAACCTCTGGACAAAACCTACTGAATATTTGCATTAATGATCTTTAAAAGAATAGGAATACACTAATTAAATTTGTCTGTGACACAAACTTGGGAGACATCACCAACTCAGACAACTAAAGTATGGCCCAGCAAGAAAATAATTATCTTGAGTTTTCAAATTCAACATGGCAAGGACAGGCACTCAGACACAAAGCAGTAAAAGTGATTGCTAAGTCCTGCAATGTTTCGATAGCAAACTGGTAATGAGGATGATCCACAGTTAATCACAGGATTCACAAGTCTGCAAGCTGTTGTGTAACATCATGTATTGGAGTGTAATACTTCTACCAGGGTTGGAAATGTATTTGTGCCATTATAGACACCATGTGAAATCCTGGGGTTTCATGCTCAGAAAAGACAACCTCAATCCAGAAAAGAAGAAAGGCTGGATTCCACTGAGACAAAATGGAGAAAGATACTTATGTTTAAGAGGTAGACATCAACAGAGTTACTAGCTGCAGATACCTGAACATTCCCTGAAGCTAGAGGATGTGTGTGAGAAAAGTGTTTTTCATGATGTGGTCTTATATATACCCACAGACTACAGTCTATAAATTGTGGAATAAGAGTGAGATAAAATGAGACAATATAATTCAAATTTACACAAATGTTTATGCTGTGTAGTACCTGTAGTAGAATCCTGAAATTAAAGACACATTCTGTACCATCTGTACTGTTCTGTTTTTTTCTTCTCAAGCCAACTCTCTGCTAGTTTTGGTTCACATGGTCACTACTATGGACAATATAGAAAAACCAAACTTGAAAGTAGACAGATGTTTTTTCATATTGACATGAATTTTGTATTAGACTAACATACACAGTCCTTTTTATTACGTTGAATTCTGAATAAATTAGTTTGAGGCACATTTCAATCCTCACGTAAACATTGTTTTTGTCTTCTGTGTTCCTATCACCTTCAGCAATTTTGGAACTGCAGGAAAAAATGTTAGAGATACCTTATTCTGTGTCATCCTTCAGTTTAAAATATACTGACTCACATGGCAGAAGCACGTCCCCAACATTCACTTGTGAACAGCTGCTCTGCCCCTTCACTTCTCTCAGGGAGACAAACATCCCAATAGCATCAGAAACAAAAGGAAGCACCAAGTGCAGTTTCACACACCTCAGGCTGCTTACAGCTGGGCCATCTGGAGATGGTGCAGAATGGTGCAACTCAGAACACGAGCTATTGCTGCTCATACCTAACTTGTCCATTTAATTGCCCTTCAGAAGCACTGTAAGCTGGATTTGGCATTTATATCACGGATCAAATCTTCCAGGAGGGGGGAAAAAGTATTTTCATTTCATCCTGCAGTGTATCTCCAAGCTGCAGCATAGGTTCAGTAGATAATCCTCTTTGATTCCAAATTAGTTTTTAACTGCATTCATCTAAGTGTATCACACCACTTTAACTAGATGATAAACAAGATGCTGTTGAAGGAATATTTATGTTACTTATTATCTAGAACATCGCATCCAAAAAAAAAATTAAATTCATATTAAGAATTTTCTGGTAATTTTCCTAATTAAACTAGAGAGGCACTTATTAAAATAAATGATGTTTTTATTACATTAGTAAAATTCAAATTTATAATTACTTTAATAAATAAATTATTAAGTGCTATTATGAGATTGATTATTTAAATCTTATTAATATTTAAATTATAACAAGCAATAATGTAGTTTTAATTATATTGAAATTTAATATTTTTATATTTATTACTTATAACAATTAAGCATTATTAATAAGTACTCTTTAATAAACAAGTCTACTAAAATTATGGAATTTTTCTTAGAACAAATTCAATTAACCCAGAAAGGAAAACAGCAATAAATTATGCAGGAAGATTTAGTCCCATTACCTCATTATCCACATTAACATTCTTGAAATCTACCTGCTGCACCCTTGCTTGAGCACTGGATGTTAATCTATTTGCCTTGAAAAAACAACAGGAGTTTGGTCACGGAGGTGATAGGACTCCTCAGATAAAAAATGTCTGTCATACTT